TGCCGACCCTGGCCACTGACCAGGCCCACCCCGGATCGGTGTTCACGTTCACTCTTGGCCGAGCCAGGAGTGCATCTGCACCGATGCTGGGCCCTGGGCCAGGCCCGGCCCAGGGCTGGTGCAGGCGCACATCTGGCGCCCCACTTGCAGTGGCCCACCTCGCTCCGAGCGAGCAGATTCGATCCCGGCCCGACCGAGCCGATTCGATTCCGGTAGCTCGACGGCGCAGCGTGGTCCGATGCCTGAGTGGTGCTGTTGTGCATCCTGGCGCGGCCGGCAACTCCGTGCCGCTGCGGCCCGATTCGGTGTGCAGTCCGACCCGGTGCGGCCTGCCGTGCCGATGCTGACCGATCCTGCCTTGGCCAGGACGCTCTCGTCGGCCTCGGCTCCGGGGGGCCCTCGGGCGTTCGCGTCGGTGCTTGCTGCAGGCTCTCTTGCCGTGGGGTGCCCTCTCGCCACCTGCGCCTCTTCGACAGCGTTCCAGGGGTGCCCCCGGATCGCCCCGATTGGCCGCCGAAGGCCTGAGTCATGGCCCGAAAGTCAGACAGCCCCGAAAATCAGGACGGAAGCTTTCTGTAATTTTCGGCTTCCGCGGGCCCTTGCCAGCCCCTGCGTTCCAGGGGTGCCCCCGGATCGTCCCGAGGCCTGAGTCATGGCCCGAAAGTCAGGCAGCCCCGAAAAAATCAGGGCGGAAGCTTGCTGTGATTCTCGGCTCCCGCGGGCCCTTGCCAGCCCCCGGGGCCGCCCAGAATGGCCCATGACGAAAAGCCAGGCCCGCGGGAAGTCAGGGTCCGAGGCATGACGTCCAGCCCTGAGCTTTTTCGGCTTCCGTGTGGACTTTTTTAACGTTGTGTAAGTCGTGGCATTTCGGTGTCCAGTGCATTTGCAAAGCGAAGTACGCTCATTTGTTTCCGCACGTCGCACAACAAAGCGTGTCGCGTTCTCCCCAGCCTTTCTTGGAACGTTCGGAGTACCTGGGCGCTCCATGTGGAGCAGCGCACGTCGGACATCCAGCGTCCGCGTTGCCTTCGAGTGTATCCTTCCGCGGTCGGGGAAAATTCGGAGGTGGGTACATAGTCAGACCTTACTTCGTGGCGTAAATTTACCCCACCCCCGTGGCGCCACAAAAACCATATCGCGTTGGCCCGCATTTTTGGGGCGCGATTCCAGGCGGGCCCGTGGACACCCCAACAAGTTGCGGGGGGGGCCTGCGAGGGAGGGCAGGGCAGAGGGAGGGGCAGTGGAGGGCGGGAGAAGCGTACAGGGTCGTCGTCGGGCCTCTCCCAGGGCTCATTACAATGAGCCCCCTGGGCGCCCAGAGCTGATGTCAACTTCGGGCTTCGAAACACGAGGACCCAGTATTTTTCAGTTTCTGTGGCCCAGTGGGGGTGGGGTAGAACTAGCGGACCCTCAGAAGGGACCTTTGGAGAGCCAACTTGTACAACATTACGTCGTCGGATGTCTGGGTATCTCGCTCTCCTCTCGCGCCCTGCTTTCCCTCACTCGATACAGTTAGGGCGCATTGTCAGGGTGAGCCACTTTCCAAGGGCTTCCCTGGCATCCTTCCCCTTCGGCCAGTCCTGGGCCTCTTTCGCTGGCCGCGCCCCGCTCGAACAGTGCCGACATGGCCTTCCAGGGCCCTTGCGTCCCGGCAAGCACATGGGCCAGAAACGCGCTTTGCACCTCGCAGAGCCATTTCCACCACGCCGTGATGCTTTCGGCCCGGCGCAACCAGTTGACACGGTTGTGTTCGTGGGAAGGTGTGGGTCGTGTGGGTAGGGGGTGCGCCACAATTTTCGTTTACATTCAGCGGGTTCGTAGGCTGCCACGTGCGAACGGGCCCCTACCCTCCGCGAAGTGGACCCCACCCTCCCCCTCAGAAACTGTGGGGGTACTCCAAATCCCTTATCAATCGTCCCCCGGGTCCGGTTTTTTAAGGCGCCTTTTTGTAACTGGTGGGGTCCAGTTTATTAGGGCGCTTTCTTTGGATTGGCGCTTAGCGGTTCCAGTTTATCAAGGCGCCCCGTCGAAGAAGGGGGTCCGGAATATCAGGCCGCATTTGGAGGGGGGTCCGGTCTTTTAGGGGGGGTCGATTCATAAGGGATTTGGAGTAGGGGTGGGGTTCGCATGTGGCACCTTGTTTCCTCCCTCGCCGCACGCCGGCCTCGCCTTCGGAGCACCCTGCGCGCCTCCCTGCCGCGCCTCCTCCTCCTCCATCTCCTCCTGCTCCCTCCTCCTCCTCCTCCTCCTCCTCCTTCTCCTCTTCCTCCATGTCCTCCCTCCTCCTCCTTCTCCTCCTCCTCCTCCACCACCACCACCACCTCCTCCCGCTCCCCCTCTTCCTCCTCCTCCTCCTCCTCCTCCTCCTCCTCCTCCTCCTCCATCTCCACCTCCTCCACCTCCCGCTTCGGGAGCACCCTGCGCGCCTCTCTGCCGCGCTCCTTTGACGGCCTGCTTTGCTCCTTCCCCCCCCCTTGGGCCTCCTCGGCCCGGGCAGCCCAGGAGCACGCACGCCGCGCGGGAGCACGCGGTCTTCTCCGTGGCCCTGTCCAGACAGGACCGCGGGTGGAGGGTTTCCCCGAAGGGCTTAGGCGACCCGTCCTCCTTCTCCTCCTCCTCCTCCTCCTCATCCTCCTCCTCTATCCTCCTCCTCCTCCTCCTCCTCCTCCTCCTCTTCAACCTCCACCTCCACCTCCACCTCCTCCTCCTCCACCTCCACCTCCACCTCCACCTCCTCCTCCACCTCCTCCTCGCGTGGCCTACGGCCCCGGGGGAAACCGTGCAACCGCGGGGGCGGAGCCGGGACGAGTCGCAGCCCTCCCAAGCTTCCCGAACAGCATCGACGGCGACGGGGAGAGATCGAGGGTTGAGGGTCGAGGGTCGAGGGAAGATTGAGGATCGAAGATCGAGGCTCGAGGGTCGAGGATGGGGGCTGTGTCAAGAAGGACCGGGCTCCCGACCCGCCTCGCACGCCCTGCATACCGCGGCCACCAGGCCCAAAGTGTGCCGCTGCTCCCTGGTCAATTATCCCGCCTCGTGCTTTCGACGAGTGACATGCCGCGGCCGCCAGGCCATAGTCTGAAGTCGGGCCTGTCCCTCTACAGGAGGAGCATTTTCCCAAATAGCCAGAAGATAGTACGGGGACGATGTTCCGCCTTTTTTGGCGACCACTTTTCGTCCAAAGTCCGCCTGCGGGGGGGGGCATTCCCGACCTAACCATAGTGCGCCCAGCGCCCAGGCGCCCACGAGCGGGCACGGGCGCCAGTGCGGCGAGCCCTCGGGGGGCCCGCCCAGCGGACGGGGCGCCCGCGAGGCGCCTGCGGGCGGGCACGGTCACCGGACCAGGACAACCATCTGGCCAAGGAAGCCAAGCAGGAATCCAACTAGGGAAGGCAACCGAGGAAGCCACACAAGAGTCGTGCAGCCAGCTGAGAGGGAAGCCAACTGGGGAGGCCAGGCAAGAGTCCAACGGGACAACCATCCAGCCGAGGAAGCCGAGCGAGCATCGTGCAGCCACTGCGTGGGGAATGGGCACGCGCTCTGAGGATCGTCGACGTGCCCTCGCCTCGACCTCGGCTCTCGGGAGTCTTCGGACGCCGCTGCCGGTTCTCGCTTTTGCTTGCCTGGCGTGTCGCCCAGCTGTTCAAGGCGCGTGTTCGGCGTCCTCCAGGCGTTGGGCCAGCGCGTCCTGCTGGACGCACGGCTCCCTGGCTGACTGCCGTCGGCTCCTGGAGGTCTCCCCTCGCCTCGGGGGGCGCCCTCCCGCCGCTGCGCCTCGCCGAGGGCGCTCCGCCGGGGGGGACCGCGCTCGCCTCGATCGGCCGCTGGAGGCCCGAGCCGCGGCCCGAGAGCTTGGGGATTGAGCCCGCGGAGCGGGCGACGCGGCAGGCCCCCCAGAGATGGGCAAGTTTTCCACCACCACCACCACAAGTTGGAGGGGAAGGGGGACCTCCTCCTCCTCGTCCTCGTCCTCCTCCTCCTCCTCCTCCTCCTCCTCCTCCTCCTCCTCCTCCTCCTCCTCCTCCCCCTCTCCCCCTTTTATCCTCCTCCTCCTTCCCCCCTCCAACTTGTGGTGGTGGTAGTGGACGACAGGCCCATCACCCAGGTCGGTATCGTTTGACCGACCCCCGTCTCCATCCCCATCCCCTTCGAAACCCCCTACGAAATTACCACCCCAGTTGGGGATACACCCCTCGAAGCCCGAAGGGAGCGACCCATTACCCCATCTGGGAGGGTAAGTCGGCCAGTGGGCCCCAGGCCACGCCGCTGGGGATGGGGATCGGTTGAACGATACTCACCAGAGGGAATTTTGCATGCCGATTTTGCAATCAGTAGGGGCTGGGGATACTGCCTCGACGAGGGTCGGTACCAATCGATGGGGCCGTGCTTGCGTTCCGTGGAGGGTGAAGGTTCAAAGCACCATCCGAGGCAGACTGTCGAGGACGTCTCGAGCGAAGCGGTCACTATTGAGACTCGGAGTCCCCTTCCGAGGCTGATTCGTCGAGGATATCCCTAGCGAAACTGTCATTCTTAGAATGCAGAGTCCTCTCCGAAGCCGAGTTGTTGAGGACGTCCCGAGCGAAACGGTAGTTTTTAAAATTCGGAGTCCTTTCCGACGCCGATTTGTCGAGGATGTCCTGAGCAACACTGACATTTGAGGCCATCGGAACACGTCGCATATGTATTTTTACGTTTCCCAGCAGCTCTCATGCACGCGGGCCTAACCTTGGGAGCGCATTTCACTTGTATGGTCACGTGCCCCAGGATAATTAATGAACATTTGCCTCATCGAAACATCTTCGAAGCATCTTCAAAACATCTTCGAATCATCATCGGCCAGCGGATTGGGCGAACACCCTCTCTGGAGCATGCCTTATGCATGCGTTCCCTCTTCTCCATCTTCCTCCATCTCATCATCTACCCCCGAAGGCTAACACGGAGGGGGTCCGCAGGGGGCCCGCCGAATTTGATAGAAGGCCCCCGACGGGGTAGACACCGCCGCCCCACCATTTTTGGGGCGGGGGCCAAGACATCGCCATGGAGTTCCACGGCCCCGAGAGCGAGAGAGATAGAGAGAGTGAGAGCCAACAATAAAGAACGATAGAGAGAGAGAGAGATAGAAAGAGAGAGAGAGAGAGAGAGATAGGGCAAGAGAGGGAGGGATGTCACTCCCGAGCAGAAAACTTGAGCCCTCGCGGGGCTCAGTTGGTGCGTCTCGGGGCCCTCGGGCCTTCTTGGGGATCTTAGGCCCTTCGTCAGAGTTCTAGAGGGCTTCTTGGGGCGATGTCGCAGAGTTGTTACAGGAGGGGGGTTAACGATGGAAATGGGAGAGGAAACATGCAGTCCCAAGAAGTTTTGAGCTCCTGGAGAGGGCCCCGGGGTCTCTCTGGGGGCGCCCCAGATGGCCGAAACATGCGGCAAGAAGGCGCACAGACGGCCGAAGAGTGCCCCGAGAGGCTGTGAGAACGGCTGCAGAGAGCATCCGCTTGTTTAAAGATAGCCGCAAGAGCCTGCGGAGGTGCACGGGGGCTCGAAGAGAGGCCATAATTGTGAGAATCCCCATGTGTGTTTACTCTGTTTTTGCTTGTTTCGGTTTTCTGGAGCATGTGACTCGAACATAGGTGGAGCGGCATCGGGGACAGCCCCATGTGCCCGAAGGACGGCCAAGATCAGCCCAGCAAAGGCCCCGAGAGGCCCCCCAAAACTCGAAGTCTAACACGGCGAGGGCCCGCCGCCAGTGAGGGGGCAGACACCGCCGCCCCCTTTTTTCGTTGGAGCCCACAGTTTCCTTTCGGGGGGGTCCAGTACGGCCCCCTGATCATCTGGCGTCCTTGCCCAAGCTTCGCGTTTGAACCCCCCCTCCCCCTGGCTTTTGGCCGGGGCGGCGGGGCTGGACAGGTGGCAGTACTCTCGACGCTTAGGTCGCCAACGCAAGAGCCCAAGAAGATCCCCAGAGGGCCACTAGAAGCCCGAACGCGGGCGAAAAGCGGCTGCTGTCGACTTTGGACAACGCTTGCCCCGGTGGGTACCGTGCCCAGGCTTTCCGTGCCCACTTCGGCGTGCCAGATGGCGCTCCCGGGCCTGCGGATCGAGCTCGGCCCGCGAGTGCGCTGCCCGGGTCCCGTTCGTATAAACTTGGGCTCGCGCTTCCCTCCCTCCAGGAGCCCGTTTCTATATTGCTTGGAGATTGTTTTTTTATCCTCTGGGGGGTAACGCTCGTTACCCGGGCCTCTCCCCCCCCCCCCCCCCCGTAACGGTAACGCTCGTACGCGGGGGGGGTCTCGGTCTTCCCCTCCAACATGCTGGTGCCCGAAGGCATGCGCACTGTGGTGTGGTGGTCGCAGGCGCACTGTGGGCGCTCGCAGGCCATTGCGGCGCTCGCATGCGCGATGCTGGTGCTTGCGGGCTTTGCGCTTGTACTCGAATCGTCGTCGTCGTCGTCGTCGTCGTCGTCGTCGTCGTCGTCGTCGTCGTCGTCGTCGTCGGCGCCCGAAAACGGCCTCCGGAGGCCGAAACAGGCGGCAAACGTCGTCGTCGTCGTCGTCGACCTCGTCGCTCGTCGCTCGTCGATCATCGTCGTCGCGCGCGCGGGCGCGGGCGTGGTGCCGGGACCACGCGGCGGGCTTTGCGCTTGTACTCGAATCGCAAGCCACTGTGGTGCTCTCAGGCAGAGAGTGCTGCTCGCGCGCATACTATGGCGATCGCAGAGCGCCCCTGCTTCGCCATACCCCGCCCAGCCCAAGCGTTACCGTTACCCGGGGGGCACGACCCCCCCCCCCCCGGGTAACGAGCGTTACCGGCCGGAATAAAAAAATGATCTCTTGGGGCATGGCGGGCGTCATGGCCCCCGCTCCCCTCCCCCATGACGTAACATGACGTAACGCTCCCCTCCCCGTGCGCTCTGGGCACTGCCGCCGTGCGCATTGGGATCCGCGTAGGTGTCCGCGTAGGAATCCGCATAGGAGTCTGGTCCGCAGTCGTCGTCGTCGTCGTCGTCGTCGTCGTCGTCGTCGTCGTCGTCGTCGTCGTCGCTCGTGGCTCGTGGCTTGTCGCGTCGCTCATAGTCGTCGTGCGCGCGGTCGCGGCTGAAGCCTGTTTTTATTCCGGGCCGATGACGGCAATCATCTAGGGGGGGGTGGAGGGGGTCGATGACGTCACGTTTCGCGCCGGCGGCGTCTGGGAATGCGTTAGGAAGGACGGAGGACGGGAAGCGCCAGCATGTATGTGGCGATTTGCACCACAATGCCTGTGTACACCACAGTGCCAGCGTGCACCACAGCGCTTGCGTACACCACACCGCCTATGTACACCACAGCAGCCGCGTGCAACACAGCGTCAGTTTGTGCCACCGTGCCTGCGGGCACAACAGCTCTTGTGCACACCACAGCGCTTGCGTACACCACATTAGCCGTGTGCAGCACAGCACCAGTGTGCTGCTTCTGTGCGTTGCAGTGCCTTTGTGCACTGCGCACCACGGCGCCTGTGTGCACCGTGCACCACAGCAACCGTGTGCAACACAACACCACCGTTGCTTATATAATGTTAGAACAAACCTTGATGACAAAGTGGAACGCTTGTGGATTCCACAAAAAGCAATATAACATAATCTTTATGGACAACGGAGCGCCGCTGGAATCTACGAGTCCTCCCGAGTCCGCCCGCATCACCCTACCTCCTGCCGTCTGCGTCCAGGAGGATCCAGCTAAATTGGCCGTCCGAAAACCAAGTCGACTGATTCAATAAACCATTCTGCGGTGCGCGCTGAGATGCGCACGTGCGCTGTAGCGCCAACCCGCACGACAGGGGGTAAGGAGGAGAGGAAGAAGGAGGAGGAGGAGGAGGAGGAGGAGGAGGAGGAGGAGAGGAGGAGGAGGGGAGGGGAGGGGGAGGAGGGGAGGGAGGGGGAGGAGGGGGGAGGGAGGAGGAGGAGGAGGAGGAGGAGGAGGAGGAGGAGGAAGAGGTGGAGGTGGAGAGAGGAGGGAAGAACGTCGCATTCGATTATTCGCATTTTCGTGGCGTGGCGTCTAATTGTCCGCAGCAGATCCTCACGTACATGCTCCTTCTACCTGTCCTATGCACGCAGGCATTGTTGTGTACACCCACGCTGCATTGCACGCGGATGCTGTGGTGTAGACGCGCGCTGTGGCGTGCACAGGCGTTGCGGTGTACGCAAACATTGTGGTGTACACAGGCGCTGTGTTGCACATGGTAGCTGCGGTGTACACATGTACACTCGCGCTGTAGTGTACGCAAGCATTGTGTTGTGGTGTGCACAGGCGCTGCGTTGCACACGGTTGTTGCGGTGTACGCAAGCGCTGTGGTATACACGCGCGCTGTGGTGCACGCGAGCGTTGTGGTGTACACAGGCGCAGTGGGGCATATCGCCACCTTCGTGCTGCGCGAGTCGTCGTCGTCGTCGTCGTCGTCGTGGTCGTCGTCGTGGTCGTCGTCGTCGTCGTCGTCGTCGTCGTCGTCGTCGTCGTCGTCGTCGTCGTCGTCGCTCGTCGCTCGTCGCTCGTCGCTCGTCGCGTCGCGCGCGCGGGCGCGGCTGCGGTGCCGGAGCCACACGGTGGGGGAGGGCGTTACGTCATACCCCCCCCTCGCCCCCTCCCCCCCCCCATGACGCCCGTCATCGCCGAACATAAATAATCGCGTTCTAGATGCGCGTTGTAAAATGTTGGTGACCTTCCTGCGGCGTTCCTGACGGCAGCTGCATTTCGACTCTGGTCCGATTCGAGTTCGACTCTAGTTCGACGTAAGTCCGACTCAAGTGCGATTCAAGTCGACGGACGGTCGACGTAGCATCGGGGCGTGATTGGAGCGATTAGTTCCAGGAAGGTCCCCAGAACGAGCATGTAACTCCTTCCCCCTCCTCCCTCCCCCCCCCTCCAGCTTTCCCCCTCCTCTCGCCCGCAGCTGGTGCTGCCCGCCTATGCCTGGGAGGCCTCTGGTTTCGAAGCTACGTGACGTAGGCCGCGCAGGGGGCAATGGCCTTCAATGCTCGAATATAACTCGGCCCCAGAGCACCTGAGCAGCCTTGACAGGCACCCGCTCCGGATGGGTCCGTCCGTCCGCCCCTCCCCCCTCCGCCCTCGTCCCTCCTCCCTCCCCCTTCCCCTCGATCCTGCTGGGGGAGGCCGGCGACATACTGGGCGTGGACCTCGATTTCACGGACGGGTTCTCCGCTAGGCACCTGGGCCCGCGGCCCTCCTTATGAGGAGGGGGAGGGAGGGAGCGAGGGAGGGACGGGCGGCGGCGGAGGAGGCGGAGGAGGAGGAGGAGGAGGAGGAGGAGGCAAATAATTTGGATGAGGATAAGAGAAGGAAGATGAGGGGGAGGAGGAGGACCAGTGCAATCCCAAGCCCTTCATAGACCCCTAGGAGGATTCATTTCCACTGTGGGAAGTGTCCCGTTGGGGGACAACCGTATGAAAATCTTGAAGCGTGCCAAAACACCATTCTCAGGAATGCAACGCCACGAGTCAACCTGACTTTTGCGCTTGACGATCCTGAAGTGTTCCAGAACACCATTCCTGGGACGTCACCGCGAATCAGCGTAACTGTCGCGCCCTGACAATCCAGAATTGTTCCCAAGCGCCATTCCTGGACGCTGACCATGAGAAGCAATGAAGCCCTTGCAGAATTTTAAGAAGAGTTACGCGGCGCTAAGGCGATAGCCACATATTGAAAGGAACTACCCTCAATCCGTGAAGCTCTTACAACTTCTTCACGTTTCGCGTATCCTCACCAGCCCATCCAGAAACGATTGCCAGGAGAGTTGGGTTTATCAGGGAAGTGTAGGGGCAAGAAAAAGGGGGTAGCTGTTATCTGTCGAACGAGGAGAATGGAAGAGTAAAGGGAGGAGGCGGAAGAGGAGGATGATGATGAGGAGCAGGATATTGAAGGAGAAGGAATCGGCAGGTGAGAAGCAGGAGGATGAGGAGGGCGAGCAGAAGGCCAGAGGCCTCTTGGATGCTCTGGGGCTTCCTTGGAGGCCTCTTAGGCTGTCTTGAATGCCTCTTGGCGGTTTCGGGGGCCCCTTGGGGCGTCTTGGGCGCCATTGAGGGGTACCTCTTGAGGCCTTTGGGGCCGTTTAGGCACCTCTTGGGGGCCTCTTGGGGGCCTAGTGAGGCTCTCTTGGGAGCCCTGGAGGCCCTCTTGAGGTCATTTTTTAAGGACATCCATCAAAGAAGGGTGTCCTTACTTACCGGCGCCCCTCTAAGGCCTCTAAATCGCCCCTTGGGGCCCTCTTGGAACGCTCTTGGAACGCCTCTCGGGCGCTCTTCAGGCCGTCTTGGGGCCGTGCCCTATTGGGCCATCTTGGAGCCATCTTGAGGCTTCGGAAGACAATTGGAAGCGGAAAGGCGCGAAAGCAAACAATGAAAGATTTTGGCCTCCTGGGGGCTATCTTATTCCGATATATTCCGCATGCGTTTTGAGCACGGTATTGTATTCTCTGGATTCAGTATGATTTCTCAAAGCCGAGAGAGCGCGATTAGACGCCTTTCACTGCAAATGCATCCTGAAGATATTGAGTATTCCGCCATCGTTTATTTTCAGGGTCAACACCGCCGTGCTGGACGTGACCGGAGCGAAGCCACTTTCTGACATATTAGCTGACATACAGGTGACGCTGCACACCATGATCGAAAGTGGAACTGGATCTTGCTTGGTGAGAATAATATTATGCAGCGCTGACTGGTCTCCCAGACCATGGGCCTCCCGGAGGAAGCGTGGGCGTCCGCGGCAGCTATGGGCCGCCTTGGTGTATGAGCCTTTGTAACTGTAGACTGTATCCCCTCATTCTCCTGCTCCTGCTCCTGCCGCCCTTCCTCCTTCCCCTCCTGCCTCGCCGCCCATCGTGTGCTTCGCAGTTGGCTGCCCCATCTTCTGCTTTACAGTCGGGCGCTCCTGCTCCTGCTTCACAGTCGTGACGCGCGCCGTTTCCTGATTCACAGTCGTCAGGCGCTCCTCTTTTCCGATTCTCACTTTCGCAAGTCACGAAGGGTTGCCAATCGCGCGCTCGTCTGCCCACGCGTCCTTCCAGATGCCTGGCTCTGTGGTGGGGGCTCTCATAGGGGTGCTCCCAGGCCACCTGGAACCGTCTTGAGGCGGTCTTGGAGCCTCTGGGAACATGTCGGACGCCATCTTCAGCCATCTTGAGCCACCTTGCGCCGTCTTGGGGGCTATCTTGGTCTCTCTGAGGCCCCCGTGGAGCCATCACGGGCCATCATGGAGGCTCCAAGGCGTCGCGGGGCGCCCCGTCTGGGTCCAGGGGGAGGGGGTACGGGGGAGAGGTCGAGGCCCCCCCCTTCGCCCGCAAGCCGTCTGTCTCACTCCCACCCGCCCTCCCAACACATAGGTAACTATAAGTCGGGCCTGTCCCTCTACAGGAGGGATATTCAACAATAGTCAAACAATAGTCTGGGGACGATATTTTTTGTGCCTTTTTTGGCATCTTTTTTTGTGGGGGGTATTTTTTGTTTTCCGTCCAAGATCCCCCCCCCCTGTAGGGGACGGGCCCGGCTTAAACGTAGGTAACACCCGAGGGAGTCTCATTGTGTTGCGCAGGAGCGCCACGCACGCCATGTGCGCCACGGGTTCCAGGTGCACCGGGCACCCTGGAGGCCCAGGCGAGCCGGGCGCGCCAGGCGCGGCACGCGCTCCACGTCTAAGCCATCGGCCAGCACCCCCGCCGCCTTGTCAAAGAGCTACTGCAGAGCGGTCGCGAGGCAAAGTCGATTCTGTTTTGTTTTTTGGCAGGGATGTTTGGCCTATGCGCAGGGAGCAATATAACGGCACCCCCGCCGTCCCTGTCAATAACCAATGCAAAGTGGGCGCCCGCACACGTTTCACATGTGGAGGTATTTTGCATTGTTTGTTTTTTTGGGAACGGATGGCATGGTTGGTCTTCGCGCAGCGAGCAATGTGACGGCACCCCCCTCCGTGCCTGTCCGAAACAAATGCAAAAGGGTCGCGGGGCGCCCGCGCATGCTCCAGATGTGGAGTCACAGTTTTTGACACGGACGGTTGACCTGCGCGCAGCGAGCAATACGAAGGCACCCCCGCCGTCCTCGCCAACAATCAATTCAAAGTGGTCGCGGGGCGCCCGCGCATGCTCCAGATTTGCAGACGAAGTGCATTCGGTATTGTTTTTTCGCAGGGTTGGTGGGAGGTCGGGGAGGCATGTCTCGGGTTGGCCCACAGTCGCGTGGGGGAGAGGGGTATACTGTTAAGGAGCACTGATAACCCCTCCCCGAAGGGGAAGAAGGGAAGAAGGGAGGTTGGAAGAGGAAACTCCGTAAACCAGTCATGGCTAGATCCTAGAGGGCTGATGGCGTTTAAGAACGAATGTCGCCACCCGCCAAACCACCCCAACCCAACCCGAAGGTCTCGATTTGCCCTCCATTTCCAGTTGGGGGGGATCGGGGAACATCGAGAAAACACATATGGAACCCGTACCCCCCCCAACCCGAAATTCGGGTCTTCGGGTTGGGTTGGGGTGGTCTGGTAGGTAGTCAGAATGTGCGCGGCGCCAAGGCAACCACGTGTTGAACAGGAACTGCCTTCAATTGTTGCTCGTGGAACTGTTTGAAACAGATGTGCGTGGCGCTCAGGGGAGAGCCACATTTTGAAAAGGAACCCGCCTCAATCCGTGACGCTCTCGGAAAGTATAAAACGAGTGTGTGCGGCCCTGAGGCGAGAGCGACATTTAAAAAGGAACTGCCTTCAATCCGCTAATGTTTTGTATTTATTGGAAAACAGATGTGCGCGGCGCTAAGGCGAGAGCCACATCTTGAAAACGACTCGCCCTCAGTCCGTGGAGCTCTTCCAATGTTTTAGAGCGAATGTGCGCGGCGTTCAGGTGAGAGCTACATGTTGCAAGCGAACTGCCCTCCATCCGTGAAACTTGGCCAGCTTTTTAGCTTCAGGCTCATAAGATGTACAGAAGTCTCAGGCGAAGCTCCCGGACCGCGTTTCCGACCGGCCTCGGGGTGCGACAGGGAGAAGTTATTCATAAGGAAAAGGGGAGGAGGAGGAGGAGAAAGAGGAGGAGAATGGCAGCGTCAGATCTCGATCCCTATCAGGAGGAGGATCATACTGATAAGGATGATGAGGATGATGATGATGCTGATGATGATGATGATGGTGATGATGCTGATGTTGATGTTGTTTTTCATGTTGTTGATGATGGTGAGGATGACGATGATCAGGATGGACGATTGTGCTGATGATGATGGCGATGCTGATGACGATGATGATGATGCTGATGATGATGCTGCTGCTGATGATGACGATGATGATGAACATGATAGTGATACTGATCATGCTGACGATGATGATGATGATGATGATGATGATGATGATGATGATGATGCTGATGCTGATGATGATGATGACGATGATGCTGATGATGATGATGATGATGATTATGATGATGATGATGATGATGATGATGATGATGCTGATGTTGACGTTATGTAGTTGTTGGTATTGTTGATGATGGTGATGACGATGACGACGACGACAACGATTATGATGCTGATGATGCTGATGATGATGATGTTGGTGGTGATAATGCTGACGATGGTGATGATGCTGGAGGATGAGGATGAGGAGGAGGAAGCTGAACAGGAGGAAAAGGAGGCGGGCAAGGATGGGATGAGGAGGTGGAGGATGAGGAGGCGGGGGAGGAGGAGGAGGAGGAGGAGGAGGAGGAGGAGGAGGAGGAGGAGGAGGAAGAGGAGGAAGACGAAGAGGATTACAAAATTGGTGCGGCCGCGCCATAACTGACATCATGCCCCTCCATTCCATCCCTTACCATCGAGATTAGTCCGCTTTATTCGGAGAGTCGAAAATCAAAACAGATCTGTCTCCCGAAAGGCCCCTTGCGCGTCTTGAAGCGTGGCAAGCGCAAAAGCGGGACCATTTCTGCGGATGCACGAAAACAACCAGCGCGGCGGCGAGAGCGTCGTTCCGTGGGACGGAGGCCATATGAGCTTCTTCACTTGTGGCAAGCGCTGCAACCATAGTTACGTTTATATAATGTAAGCGGCGTCCGGGGCCCTGCGGCTCAGGGTCGCACACTTTTCCCCCCCCCCCCCCCCCGTAACCGAATTTCCCCCCTGGGCTGCGCGGGCCTTTTGTGGCATCTAAGGGCCCGTATTCGGAGTCCCGGAACTTTTCCGCTTCCCCGAAGCGTCCACCTAGGCTTCTGGAGACGGCAAGAAGTCGCCAAGGCCCAAGAGCGCTCCAAGCCGAAGATGGCCCCAAGATCGGCACAAGAGGCCCCCAAGATGCCCCAAGGTCGCTCCGCGAGGACGCCCAACTCATTGATTTTCATTGTGTGTTTCCAATACTTGTTGCTTCTCACGTTTTCGAGCGGCCGACACTCCAAGACTGCCCAAGAAGCCTCCAACGTCGCTCCAAGAGGCCCCCAAGAGGGCCCCAAGAGGCCTCCAAGACAGCCCAAGATGGCCGCATGATCGGCCCAAGAGGCCCCAAAGACGGCCAAAGAGGGCCTGAAGAGGGCCTGAAGTCGGCTCCAAGATGGGCCCAAGAGAGGGAACGCGAACCGACCTTTCGAGCTTCCCGCACCCAGAAACCCCCAGGAGGCCCCAAGAGGCTCCCAAGTGGCTCCAAGCGGCTCCAAAGAGGCCCCGAAGATGCTTAAGAGAGGTCCGACAAGCTCCACAACGGCCCCGTGGAGGCTTCAAACCTGCTTCCAAAAGGCCCCCCGAGAGGCATCCCACGATATCATCTCAGCGAACATCCGAGAAGCCTCTGACCCACAACCCAGACACTGTTGCGGGATGGGCCTAGAATTGCGACCTCTGGTTCGCATGGGGGGCTGGGGGGGCATTGAGGGCTCCAAGAGGCTTCAGAATGGGCCCCCGACCCCTCCAGAGGCTCCCAAGCTGGCCCAAGATATTCCCAGGATGCTCCAGAGAGCCCCCCAAATGCCCGAACAGAGGCGCCCTCTGCCCCAAGAGGCCCCCAGGAGGCCCCAAGAGACTCCCAGGAGGCCTCCACGACGCCCCAAAAAGCCACCAAAAAGGCTCCAGAAAGACCCGAGAAGCTTCCGAGAAACCCCCACCGAGCTCGCAGGAGGCCTCTACACAGACCCTCAGAAGCCCGCCAGAAGCCCTTCGTCCTCCATGCTCCGGAACAGCCCTCGGAACACGTGGCCCTGGGTGCACCTCCCGACCCGCCCACCCACTGTCGAGGCCCGAGGACGCCCCCATGACGCCCGCAAGCCTCTCCGGAAACGCCTCTCCCGCACACGTGGATCAGGTGACAATGATGCCGATCGTCGGTGGTGCGTCGTCGTCGTCGTCGTCGTCGTCGTCGTCGTCGTCGTCGTCGTCGTCGGTCGTTGCTGGTACGCTACAGGCCAACCCTTCCTTGAACTACGCAGTATCCGCCCGAAAATCACGCATGGGTGAAAGGGAGGAACCCGGAAGACCACATGGAAAAGGTCTCATGGAAATTGACACCGTCTTGGGAGTCGACTAGAACCTAAGCGCGCGCGAAGCGCGCGCGTGGTTCTAGTTTCCAAATGCACGAGCACGGTCAGCGCTGCGGCGGGAGCGTCGTTTCACCGGGTGGCGAATCAATGTGAATTCCGAAACGTCACAAACCCTCAAGCAGGAACGTTTTTATTAATGCAAGCGTACGGGCAGCGCCGCGGCGAGAGTGTCGTTCTATTCGGCAGAGGATTTCTGGAAATCGGTAAGTGTGGTCAGCGCTGCAACCATAATCTTTGAATGACCGATAGCATTCTGATGGTGAAACACCTGATCATATATCGCATACCGTCCTTGGGACAATCCTGTGTGTTGGTGGAGGAACGATCTGCTGGATGGGCAGGGAGCAGGTAGACCGCATGAGGGGATACGGGAGAGAGTTATTCTTGACGCTGCACGGGCCCCCATCCAACAACCGTGCCCAGGCAGGTTGCCTTGATCGGGGAAGTGGGGGGAACCTGCAGCAGAACAGGTCGCTGGGGAAGCTGGCCGGCTCGAGTTGCTTGAAGCAGCTTGAGCAGAATTGGGAGGAAGTATTTGGGGACACGGATGAGGCGGGAGGAGGAGGACGGGGAGGACGAGGAAGGATGAGGGATAAGAAGAAGGGGAGCAGGAGGAGGAGGAGGGTGAAGAGGAGGAGGAGGATGAGGAGGAGGATGAAGGCGAGCTCGAGCAATTTTGGGAGCGTTTGGGACTCTCTCGGGGCCTTCCTGAGGCCCTCTTGGGAGCCTCGGGGGCTCTGTTGGTGCCATCTTGCAGGACATCGATCAACGACGGGGGGGTCCTCAATTAGCGCCCCCCGTCAGGAACCCTACAAGTCGCCACTTGGGGCAATCTTTGGGCGCTCTTTGGCGCTTCTGGGGCCGTCTTGGGTCCCTCCCGGGTCCCTTTGTGGGTCCCCTTGGGCCATCTTGGAGCCATCTTGAGGCCTCGGACGGCCATCCAAAGCAAAAAGACTAGACGGCAACCATCATGGATGCTCCTTTGGTTCTGGAAGGAGTTTGGGCTTTCGGCGGTTTCCTGCAAGGCTCCGTGGCTTCTTCGACCCGTCTTGAGGCAGTCTTGGAGTCTTTTGGAGCATGCTTGAAGCCATCTGAGGCCATCTTGGGCTATCTTGAGCCATCCTGGAAGCCATCTTGGGCCCAGGCCCTCTGGGAACCATCTTGGGCCATCTTGGGCTATCTTGAGCCATCCTGGAGTTCATCTTGGGCTCTCAGGCCCTCTTGGAACAGCCTTGGGCCATCTTTGACACCCCAACGACCCGCGATCCCCCCTGTCCATGTCCAGGGGTAGGGGGAGGGAGAGGGGTTAAGCTACCCCAAGCCACAAGCCGTGTCGCTCACTCCTACACGCCCTCCCACCAACACATAGGCAACATCCGAGCCTGGGGGCCCGATCCCCATCAGTTCATGGGTTAGCGCCCTCTTCGCAAGCGCAGTGCCGAGCATTCAGTGAGAAGGGTGGAGCTTGAGGCCCCAGCACCAGCACCAGCACCAAAATATTCGCCCAAACATGAAACAGATGTTGCCACGCAATGTGTTTCCATTGCGTGATGGCAGCGATGAAAGGTCTGCGCAGAGCGTACGAGGTGAGGATGTCGCCGCCGCCCTTGTAAAACCAATGCGAAGCAATCCCGGGGCGCCCGCGCACGGTAGATTGTCTGCCGCAGTGTGCATGTTGCACTGTGTGTTGACAGGGACGGTTGGCCTGCACAGAGCGGACAATATGAGGCCCCCCCCCGCCGCCTTTGTCCAAAGCCAATGCAGAGTGATCACGGCGCGCCCACGCACAGCCCCGATTTTTCCGCGCACTGCAGTTTGCATGGCTTCTGATAGGGATGGAGGGGGTATGTTATTGGCCCAGGTTTGTCGCTGGTGGGGTGGGGGAGGGGGTGTATATTCATACGGAGCAGTGAGAAAGCCCTCCCCAAAGGGGAAGAAGGGGGTGGGAAGAGGAGGCGCGCTAGACCAGCTCCGCCCAGAGGGCTCGTGGCATCCAGACATTGTAATCGCAAAAGCTTCAAACACCGGAGGGATTCCCCTACAACTCCTTAATCCCGCCGACCCCCCCATCGATCCTTAACCCCGCCGACCCCCCAGCGATCCCTCCCTTTCCCCGCCCGACGCTGCGTCTTCCCCCTTCATCCCGCAGCGCGCCTCGCCTCCCCCGCTCTCCTGGCATCCCCCATGGGAGTCCCCCATGGCCCTCGCGGGACCTGCGCGGAGCTCTCCCCGGAGCCGTCTGGCCCCGTTGATCGGGTTGATCCAAACGGGGGTCCAGCGACAAGGGGGTGGTGCAATAGATTTGGTGCAATAGGTTTGTGGGGTTGCAATACATTTGGGGCGTGCAATACATTCAGGGGCGCAAATGTACTGCTGGATTTTCGCGTGCAATGCATTACTTGCAATGCAGTACGATACAAATCTCCGTCGCGATACATTTGCAATACAATTGCCCCAGATCTATTGCGCCACCCCCTTTCAGCTGGACCCCCTTTTGGGTCACCCACAGTTGAGCGCCCGTGCCCTCCCCGCTCCCCCCTCCCCCCGCTCCCTCTTCCCTCCCCTCGGCGTGTGGCGGCCTCTCTTGCGAGAGCTCGCGATCGCGAGGCGGCTCGAGGCAGCATCGGTGCTCGATCATGGCTCCGCCGGCGAGGCCTCGTGCGGCCACGTGGCCACTCGTCCCCTTCGCTTCTCCCCGGCGCTGCCTCCTTGCAGCTGGCACCAGGGTTGAGGGCAGCCCTGGCTCTGGAGGAGTGCCCCTGTGCTCTTCGTGCCCAGCCTCTGCGCTCGGGAGGGCCCTTCGCCGGCGGTGCTCCCGACCTGCGCCCTCGTGGCCACGCCTCGACCTGCCTCGCTCCCTGCCCCTCCCTCAGCCGAGAGCAGGCTCACCCGGGTCGAGCACAAGGGGGCCGTGCTGGAGTGGAACAAGCGGCGCCTCCCCTGCCCTCCGCCGCCCTGCCGGTGCCCCATCTGGGGTGCCGGACCGCTCCCCAGCTTTAAGTTGGGCCTGTCCTCTACAGGAGGAATAGTCAAAAGTAGTAGAAAATTGTCTGGGGACGATTTTTCGATTATTTAATCACTTCGCTCATTCCGCCAGCCCTGGAGCGCTATTTGGGGCCTCTTGGGGCCGTCTTGGGGGGCTTCCCGGGAGCGTCTTGGGGCTCCTTGGCGGCGTATTGGGCTCCCCCGGGGCCTCTTGGGGGCCCCTTGGGGCGGGAGGGGGTGTAGTCGATTGCAGCCCCCCCCTCGGAGGCCACGATCCTCGTGAGGGGTGGCGAAAAACAGCCTCCCCCCTGGGGATCGCCCGGGACCTGGCCGGGGATCGGCCGGGGTACTTTTCGTCCGGGGCCCCCCAGGGGCCGCCCCGCGCGCGCGAACTAGACATATTGTTAAGTAGTTACCGGAGATCTTAGCACGCCTCTGGCCCGTTGGGCTGGCGAATTTTGGACCCTTTCGGGTGTATTTTTCGCCCAAAATCCCCCTGTAGGGGGACACGCCCGACTCAACCCTAGCTCCCCGCGGCGGGGCTGCGAGAGCCGAAGGCTGCCAGGCCTTGGGTACGATCGAAGGCCCCGGGTGTGGAGAGGCGCTCGGTATCGCTTATCGGATCCCCATCCCCGTCCCCGCCGAGACCCCACCAAATTACCCCCCCAGTTGGGGATACACCCCTCGAAACCCGAAGGGAACGACCTATATGCCCATCTAGGGGGGCAAATCGGCCAGTGGGGCCCAGGCCGCGCCTGTGGGGATGGGGATCGGTAAAACGATGCTCAGTGTGGAGAGGCGCTGGGCCTCCCAGATGGTCCGAGCAGATGGGGTCGGAGGATCGCGCCGCATCGCCGATGCATCTGTGGTGCGGCTCGATGTCGAGCTTTCTTTTCTGCACGCCGACGTCGATGCATCGCCGACGTCACCGGTGCATTGCCGATGTATTGACGATGCAGTGCGATCCTCCGACTCCATCTGCTCTCTCCCCATCTAGGAGGCCTTTGATATGGAGAGGCTGGCCAGCATCGTCAGGCGTGAGGCATATCCCCACCCCCAGTGGTTCCTCAGCGCCACCTTCCTGCCGCCTCCAGGTGGGGATAAGCTTCGCGAAGCCTAGCGGAGAGGGCATCCATATCCACCTGGGGAGGTAGGCTGGCCAGCCAGCGAGGAACAGGTTTACCCGATGCGGATGGGGATGCCTACCGATGCTGGCTACGGCAGTTTGTGCTCATTTTGGCGCTGTCCATGTTTAGACATACGGTCGCCTGCCCCGAAGCCGCCGCTGTCGGTTTTGGACAACATTTGCTGGCGGGCATCGTGCCCATGATTTCCGTACCAGCTTCGAGCGTGCCAAGACGTGGTGTTGTCCCATTGTGCCCCCGAGTTTGTTGCGCCATGTTGTGAGCCTTAGGGCTCCTTACGCGGGGTGCTTGTGGAGGCTGTCTGGACCTTCCTGGAAGAGCCAGGGTTTATCTTGGAGCCATGGTCACCTCCGTGCAAATTTGCAGACGCCCTGTCCACAGAGTTGGAGACGATGGGGTGCTCGAAGTGTTTCACGGCGTTCGGCTGCCGTCGCGTCGGCGTCAGTTTTACAGCCCATGCACCACTGACGTGCACGGCGTCTTCTCTCTCTCTCTCTCTCTCCCCCTCGTCGCCGATTAAGCTTGGGCAACTCGATGGGCGGCGGGGTAGGGCTCAGAGTTCGGCGAACACGTGGCGAGATTGGAGCCCTACCCCCGACTCCCGTTGATCGAGGCGAGCCGATGGTTATTGGGGGTAGGGACTGGACGTCGCCACCCAGGAGTGGGCGCACCTGCCATGTTCCGACGCCGTGGCTGGGAAGGCGAGGGGGGAGGAGACCTCAGTGCGGAGTTGCCGCACGCCTGGCCATCTCTCATCGGCAGGTCTGCTCCTGGGGTGCCCTCCTGGCCACCCCTTGGCCTTCACGGCGGGGGCTCGTGGGTTTTATGGGGGCCGGTGCCTTCCAAGAACCTCCCCGCCTCCTTCGGAATGCCGCCGCCCCTCTTGCCCTCCCTGCGCGCCGCCAGGCAGAGCTGCCGCAGGCTTGCGTCGCTCTCTTTTGACATGGCTGCCCCTGAGCTCCTCCCCCCAGCCTCTCGGGGCGGCCAGCTGACTGCGCTGTTGAACTCCACCCTGGACGTCGGTCTCCGAGCCAGATCGATCCGTGAGGGTCCTGAGGGGCTCGAGGAGGAGGAGGAGGAGGAGGAGGAGGAGGAGGAGGAGGAGGAGGAGGGGCGAAGAAATCCGGCCATGTGCTTCTGCAGCGACGCCCAGGTGATGTCACTCGGCCCAGCCGCCTCCCCTCTCGCTCCGCCTCTCGACGTGCCCGTCGCCGTCCTCCAGAGGTCCTCTCCTGTCGGGGGCGGCCACGGGTGAGGACTAGGGTTAGGTCGGACATGTCCCCCTACAGGCGGATTTTGGACGAAAAAACCCAAACAGTATTCAAAACTTATCAAAACATGCCGGAACAATGGTCCCCTGACTATTTTTGGACTATTTTTGAATTTTCCTCCTGTAGAGGGACACGCCCGACTTAAGACTAGGGATGCACGGGAATCGTGGCCAGGGCCATGAGATGTCCCAGATTCTGCGCCCCCCCCCGAGTTTTCTTCTTTCAATGCGTCCTCTGGCCCCCGTCCCCTCGCCAGCGCGCGTGCCTCGGGACATGATGCGTACCCCCCCCCTTCCTGGTCCGCCCTCCGAGGCCCACACAGGATCCTGGGGTCCCCCAGAGGTCCGCGGAGGCCTCGGGGAGTCACAGAGGCCTCTGGAGGTCCCCAGCGGCTTCCAGATGTCCCCGGAGGCTTCCGGAGGCCTCCCAAGCGGCCACGCACGACGGGAAACATTGAAACTAGAGCCTCGACCTTCGGAGGCCGCCAACTATACACCTGCACCGGTCCTGGCCAGGTCGGTTCAGGGCCCAGGGTCGGTGTGTAGTCCTGTCTGGCCAAGGAACACGTATGCACCTTTCCTGGGCTCACGATCGATTTGGCCAGGATCGGCGTATATGTGCAGTTGCTGCTTTTCCTCTGGAGGGACCACGGCGCGTAGTTATCTTTCGGACAGTTGGGCTCGGATTTCAGTCGATGTCATCCGTGTCTTTTTGGTATTCGGGTGCCGCGGTGACGTGTGGCCAACAGCTGGGAATGCCTTAGCTGCGTGGATCCGTCAATGCCACCGCAATTGAAAGACGGATTGGCGGCGCGCACGAGGGGTGGGCGCGAGGGGGGCGGTTTTCTAAGAATGCGGGGGGACTATGCGATGGCAGTGGCCTTCCAGGAAGGGCCCAGGAGGCTCATGAGAAGGCTTCCCAGAAGCCGGGCGGGCTTCTGAAGAGCTACCTGCCTTCTCAGACCTCTCCACGCCTTCTTGGGAGGCCGCCTTCCCTCGCGCCCACCCCCCTGTGCGCGCCGCCAAGACGCGAGGAGGTCTGGTTTCGGGGCCATCACTCAGGCCTCTGGCGGCCGATCGGGTCGGTTCGTCCCCGCCCCCCCCCCCCCCGCCAGGACGCTCTCGGCGAGGCGCAGTCGCTGGAGAGCACCCGGAGGCGAGAAAACCTCCAAGAGGAGACGAAGGCGTCAACATATCGTGCGGGAAACACCCGATGTGTGCAATGTGCGCTCGTATCACCCTTCTATCCATCTATACTGCTACCGTCTCGGCTCAGGTATTGGAAACAGGTACAGCGCCGCCTGCCCGCGGCGCATGGGGAAAAGGATCGCTACCCTCTACCTAACCTTCTTCTACCTACGGACACCTCAGTACCTTCGACTTTTTGATCGTTGATCTACATACGCAGGTTATCAACCTCCTCTATTTCGTTCTCCGTTGTGACACCCCGCATCGTCTTTGACTCAGCCGCATGGCGTTGGACCCCACGGGGACCAGTGCTTCTATGCGCGCTGGGTATTCGACGGGGCCGCAATCCCCCTTCCGAGGAGAAGGCAACGCCGATGCCAGAGTTGCGGCGGAACTCGAAACAGTCATGGGTTCCTTCCCGCCTCCCGCGCTGGCGCCGTCTCATACGCCAGGGCTTGGACATAACGCACAGTCGACCATGACGTGTCCCAGCGCCACCTTTACTTCGGAACCTTCGCCAGTGGGAACATCAGTGGTTGCTTTCGAAACCACCGCTGGATTCGCCTCGCCTCCTCCAACCTTCGCCGGTGGACACACCCGCGGTGGTGGCGCCAGTGACACGTTTCATCAAAACGCTTCCGCGCGACAGCGCCGCTGGGACGCACGGCGTCTCATTAACCCCGCCGCGGTCCCTGTGTCAGAACATGTGCGAGTCGTAAGAGATCGACCTGGACGGACCTCGCAGCGAAAAACCCCCGAACGGTATCGTCTCCAGTCCCCGAGTAGCGACATCAGCCGCATACCCCCTCCAAGCGGCGCTCACGGCAGAGCCACCTGCGGCGCGGCGTCGTGCCGCAAGCGTCCCCCTCAGCCAGTAATCAGGCAGAGCTTAGAAACCAGGTTGAACATTACACGACCCAACAGTTGTCAGGTCTTGGTGCGCGACGCCCTTGCCCTCGTCGACGCTCGGATCACCGAGGATCGATTGATCCTCATTCAGGTCCAGGTCGACCGTATGGAGTCACGCCGAGGTTCCGACTCCACTGCAGTTCATACGTTCCGCGGGTACCTCTTCGCAGTGGGGGCCCAACTCGTGGGCGTCAGGACACTACACGATGAGCTTTTGGCAGTGCGGCAGGTTCCGGCTACGGAGGTACATGGGCTTACGGATCACCAGCTCCGCGACGACCTGATTGCGCTTGGTACTCATGTTGCAGTGACCGCTGCCGTCCTACGCCCCCGCCATACCACCATCACCCCCGAGTTGCACGGCAAGCTGTGTAGTGCTTGGATGGCTACCGCTCAACGTCTTGATGCTTCCGATGGACGTATGTCAACGCTTG